TTTTATTGTTGACATTTGCATATTTACTATCACTTCTGCATTATTATTGGTGGAAATCTTCAATTTACTTTTTGTTCTTATGGTCGTTAGTATTAAATTATTAATCAGTTGGAAATTTCACTATAGCTGACCCTTTCTCGTTTCTCATCCCAACTTGTACAATGTTTCAGTCCATATTTTGACGTAATCCGAGATTTTATAAAGGTTGAACCTCAATCTTGAGGGTCCCTACCGTCTCGTCCCAAGATTTTATAATGGTGATGGTGGGTGGTTCACTTTTTTCTGTTTGACACTTTGGAGTTGATTGTTTAAAAATTAATTAAACCTTGTCATAGGAATGTCACTGAACTTTAAATATTGATAATCCCTAATTCATTTTTGTCAGGATTCCATCGGTGACCATTTTTTCTTTTAAATATTTTTGTTTATTATACCTAAAAAGGCGCTCTCAAGTATCCCAAATTGTTTGAACCGCTTCTATGCAAGTTATGTTTAGAGTACGTTTGATTGACATGGAAAATATTACCTAGAAATGAAAATGTTTTCCTTCTTTTGTGGAAAATAAAAACCACCTCCACCCAAGGAGAATGTTTTCCTTAAAAATAAGGAAAATTAAGCATATTTTCAAAAATTGAAAAATATTTTTCATGGAAAAAAATAGCAATCAAACACCTTGAGTAGGAATTTGAATGAAAAACTGATATTTTTCATGAAAAATAAATGTAATCAAACACACTCTTAGTGTTTATTTGATTTATAATAATTCATTATAATGAAGAAAAAGATTATAATATATTTTATATATGCACTAAAAAATAGGCATGTTCAAACCTCAATCTTAACCTAACCTGAGAACTTTATGTCTAACTCAATATTGATTTAACTAATTTGAAATTAAAAAAATCAACCGTTAAGGATATTTAAAATAAAATATTAAAGTCTCCCGAATGAGAAGTTTATAACAAAAATTATTTTCGAAAAATTCAATGAGGATATAGGTTATTTGTTCCAAAAATAAAATAAACTTTGTCTGTCGCGAAAACCTTACTAAGCTTTAAAAATGTTGTTGAACCATCACTAAAATTTGTCAAATGCTTTCAATCCCTCACTAATTGAGAGAATTAAACGACAATTTGTGCCATGTGTGAATTCCATTTGCCACGTAGGCAATTTCGTCCTAACAAACTAGCAGATTCTTACAGAGTGATAGATAGACTACATCATGACAAAGTTGAGTGATGTTTTAGCAACAATTTGAAATTTAACAAAGCTTTCGTGATGCGGCCCAAAGTTCGATCATGTTTCAGAATAATGTTATTTTGCCCCCTCCGTTTCATGAACAAACATGAGATTTGAGAATTGGACAAAGAGTGGTCAAGTAAGATTTGAGAATTGTAACAAAGTGTGATTTTGTAATGAAAAAGTCACAATAGAATAAATTTAGAAATCAGTATCTTTCTTGGAATTTTGGTCGTGTTTGAATTTTAGAGAGGTCACATTTGTTAATGGAAGAGCAACTATTAAATAAAAATGATACTTAAACAAAAAAATCCCAAATAGGAATCGATGTTTCTCTCTCTTCCAATTTCTGATCTGTTCTTAAATAAAAAGTAATTCAGAAATCATTTTTTTTAAATAAAAAATAAAATTGGTTGTGTTTGTGCTGAATTTTGGAGAGGCCACATTTGTCAATGAGAAAGAATGTAACGAAGTGTGACTTTTTAATGAATAGTTAAGAAAATATAACTTTATATAATATTTTTCAACTTTATCCAACTTTTTTTAAATTTAATTTTAGACATTAAAACCTAAATTTCCGGTTCTTTTTCCCTTTTTATAATTTAGATCGTGGTTCTATTTCTCAATTACTTTCTTTTGGCTACTTCCGGAAGTTCAATTTACTTGGCCTCACGAGCATCAATGCTGCAGTGGTCTAGTTGGCAAAAATGATGATCAAGTTCACACCCTCAAACGTCATTTTTTACAAACGTACCTAGGTTAAAATTAAATCCAACTTTTTTTTTATTCCTTTTGAACTACATAAACATCTTTATTTAGATTTGAAAAATACAATTCAAACCTTTTTGTTATTCCATAAAAATGAAAAATTCAACATTACATGGAAAAAGAATTATACGTAAAACACTAAAAAATCAATATATTTCGTGTCCCACTACTAACAGTAAAGAATTAAAATAATGGAATTAAAGAATAGATATATATTGAGCTCCATGCAATTGCAAGGCAAACTAGTGGCCATCTCCAGGGCTTGGACCAGATTTCTTAACTACTCCATGTGTGTAAGCATTGGTAAATTTGTTTCCTTCACCAGGGCTCGGACCAGAATTCTTAATTCCCCCAAGTGTCTTCGCATTGGTAAATTTGTGTCCATCGCCAGGGGGGCTCGGACCAGAATCCTTAATTCCCCCAAGTGTTTTCGCATCGGTAAATTTGTGTCCTGCGCCAGGACTCGGACCAGCCTTTACAGCATTCAATGACAGATAATAAATCGAGGCACCATTGAGAGGACGGGCCTCGACTGCAAACAGGATTGAACAAAACAACATAAGGATGAGAACACCAAAGAAATTAAATGATTTCATTTCTTTTGTAAGAGAGAGCCCTGCACAAGAAACAGATAAAGGTAGAGAGAAATAAAGAGAGTACTTAATATTTTGTTGGAAGCTTAGGGTGGGGACTAATTTATACTGCAAAATTTTTTGACTAGCAAGGGAGGAGGAAACTGCCATTTGCTGTATCATTCAAAGAGAGAGTGGGAATTGAATGAATTTTTGAATGAACTTGCATGTAAGTTTCATGAGCAAAGAAATTAAGAGATTGCGAGTCTAAATTGGATAGCATTTGTTTCAAACTCGATTCTCTTACGGGTTGTATTCGTCATGGTAATTCTTCATTTTCATGTAGTTCAATTCTCTTTTAAGACCACGAACACACGCATATGTTTGAAAATTCAACTTATTTTTGTAAATTGGAAAATCTCTATATTTCAATTACTGGTCAATTTTCAGCAAGTATAATAATGCTGGCCTCCAATACAAAGTTGACCGTCCAATTTAGTCTTCCAATTAACAGTTAACACGTGTAGGGTTCTTGATTTGAAGATACTACAATGACTAATGTTATTTAGCCCCACTGGGTTACAATCTTAGTCTAGATGGCATTAATGTAATATTAAACGATATAAGCAAGTGAACAAATTATTTAATTTCATATTTCATTCAGCCTAACGGAACTATATAACATTATTCTATTACAATACAAGGAGATCAGATAGAATTACTCATTATGGAACTGTTTGAGCCACATTTTTATTCAAGAATGCATTTTAGAATAGTAAATTGATGCAGACTATGTGATTTAAAAATAATGAAAAGTTTTGAATTTGCATGTAATATTATTTTATTGAAAAATATGTGGTTGAAAAAAATAGAGAAAAAAACGTATTTTAAGAATAATGTGGATATAAAAATTATGTACATTAAGAGTGTTTTGGAGATTATATTCAAATAGATAAACGCGTTCCTCCTTTGATAGATTTTAGACCTAACATTTTCTTTTTGATAAATGACTTTTTTCTTATTCAATTTCGGAATCTTTTTCTTTCAAATATTAAAAAAGTTTCAAAGCATGCTTACAAAAGTTTGAAATACCAAATTGCGAAAAAAATTTGAGTTTTACCTCCCTAGTCAACTTGTGGAATTTAGAATTGTAAAATCTGTGGAACCCATTTACCACGGTGTTCTAAATAGGACCCGGACTTTGACCCTTTGATGTATAAATGCAGCCAAGGGTCAATAGAGAGGACCCCTCTAGAGGTCATGCCCAATAGGCTGAACTATTATAATATGGTTAAAGTACTAGTCGTATGATCTTTATGTAAAATTTTCCGTTGATTATAGATTTTTTTGGCTTCAATTTGGTTGTCAAATTTAAAATTCATTGTAACAAGTGTACAATGATAAATACCCAATGTTAGAGCCTATCACCATTGACTAAATAATATTCTCGCCATGGAAATTCCTTAACCTATCAAAATTTGTCAAATCCTCATAAGAAATAGATTAGTCTTAGATACCCCACAAAATTGATTTCTAGGATCGCATGCAGTTTCTTTTTACTTTTAGACAATGACAATGACAATGACTCACTTGCACGAAAATAGTCCTCGATTGTATTAAGGAAAAACTTAAAATCTTGCGAAAGCATTTTGGAGAACGAAATGCAAGATAAGAAAACAAGCGTACAATGTGAAAGTATCCAACTTACAACTTGATCGTTCGGTTGCTTAAAGTCAAGAGTTAAAGACACATTATCTTACAAAGTCCCATCCAAAACAGCCATACACTGCCCATAGCTGATCAAATCAAACCTTATGTAACCCCTATTTGGTTTTGCTAAAAATTAAATTTTTAGTAAATTCTGAAAGAAATTAATAACATGAGTGGTTGAAAATTTGTGAAATCCATGGAATATGTGGTTAAAAATTTATTGTTGATTTTGACTTTGATTTTTATTAATTTTTGTTAAGTTAAACCAAACGAAGACATAAAATCCACTACACCTTAGGCCAATACTTATAGTGATTCTCATTTTCTTTGTTCTTTTGTGCTCAAATAGACTCTGCATATTGGAACAAAAACAAGAATGCATAAAACATCAGTAGTGAAAATGTTCTACTTTAGTCCTAATAATGTTCTAAATTATGATGGCTTGCAGAAATGTTCATTCAATATTTCTTCATTCATCTTTTGCTTTAAATGGTGAGATTTCTACAAATATGCTGGATGACCAGCTCTGTTGACCTCTAAAAACGTGTCAATCGGTGTCGATCCTAGAGGAAGTTCACATAGACAAATTTCGATAAAACTTTAACGGATATTCAGTCAGAGATTAGGATATTAACTATCCATATGCATATATATGGGTGAGATATTCACGATTGAAGGCAATTTACAAAATAAAAGAATGATTTAATTGAGCATTTAAAGAGAGGGAAGCTAACATATACTTGCATGTCTATTTTTTCCATCCTTCCTAATGTTACAAAAGCTGCAATTTACAGTGTCCAAGTCAACATGGTCACCGTTGGATCAGATCCACGTGGCTTCATCTGTTCGACCGAAACGTCACATCATCCTATCTCACATTAATTATATTGACAAATACATTTAACAAATGGTCAATCGTCCTACACTCCTAGGTCGACATACCTGACATTTAGTTAATGTAAATGTCACATCAATTATGCCTAAAGATAACTTATCAAGCCTACTGTAGAGAGTCTCGGTATGAAGGAATTTGGCTGAGGAGATGAGAGCACTTTGACTGTGGAGCTTGGACGAAAGTAGTGCCTTGGCCAAGAAAGCAATTCTTGATCTCTTCTTTATTGTTTGCCACATGTGTGAACGTGGTACCTCCACGTGGCCTCCATTAGATGTTTCACATACGATTAGTAACGAGCTTCATTTTAGTTCAAGTTAATCAAACGATAAAATAAACGTCCATTTTCAAGAAACATATATGAGTGTATACTGAAGTTTCAAACCATGATGGAAGAAGAATTGGCCACTAGTGAAGTCTGATCCAGTTCAATTCTTATCTCTGTCGGAATATCTTATGTGAACCGCATTCAAACTAATTCTTTCTACTACACGTATTATCTTCACCGCCTACACTCTAATAAGAAACATTTTTTTTAATTGTTGAATATGGAAAAAGAGATAACAGTACTAGAAAATAAGAAACAAGCACTTAACCTACGAAGTTAAAGAGGCAAAGATGAAAACGAGTTTTGAGTCAGCGGTCATCTGGCTTCGTCGATTTTCAAATGGAAGTATACTTACACTAGCATTTACTCAGCCATCGTCTAATAAAATATACATGTGGAATAGTTCATCTTCACTAAATTGAATGATTTGAGCAAAGGAACCACAAATTTCTCTTGTTGCCCTAGCTTTTGCCTGGGGATTCCTCGATCAGCCAAGTTGATTTGCTGTCGTGGAAGCAAGTTGTTAATGGGCGGTCTTGCACAAAGTACTTCAAGAAGTACCACTCCAAAAGGGTACGCATTGGAATTTTGTGTAAGTTGTAAGCATGAAGCATCTGAAATACTCAAGATCAAGATATCCGATGCTACCTTTGACATCATTGCTTACATTAGTCGAGAGGATTTGATTGCGAAAGACCAAAATCAGCAACTTTAGCCACATAGTGTTCATCGACTAATATGTTTGTCGATTTGATATTCCTATGTTGATTCCAAGATAATTCAAAAAGAAAAGTGAATTTTTATCGATTCTTCTCTCAAAATGTAAAGATGACCTCTTAAAGTAACTTTCTTCATAAGCTCATAAACTAGTATATTTTCAGACCTTTCTTCAAAATATTCAATCAACAAAACAAGATATCAGTGCCAAATTTTAGATAAAATCATTATTTTAGTATGAAACTTGAGAACGCCTTGTCCATTTTGCGACCCAAAGGTTGATGATAGATTTGCTACATTCATATAGACTGAGGACTAACAATGCAAATTTTCCTATATTAGTTCATATACTGGTAACGCAGTTTGATTGTAACGCAAAAAATTCAAGCCCCGTACCTTTAACTTTTTAAACGTAGCCAAACATGCACTTTGCCATCAATTTCAAAATATCACGGTGTTCAAATCCCACTCTTGAATCCACCCATAGGTTAGATTGACGATTTCCAAATTGTAGGGTTCGAGGCTATGGTAGAAGCGAAATGCAGTTTGTCCTTTCCTTCTCTCTTTTTTTTTTTTTTTTTTTTCGCAGCCGCCTCCTCGTTTCCGAGTATCAGGCTCTCTCTTTCTTTGCGTCTCTCTATTAATTCTTATCGTATCCTGCGTTTCTGTTGATAATATGAATTTGCAATTGGTTTTTTTATTGGTTTTACATGAACAGATATATAGAATCATAAAACAGGCTAGAAAAACATCGAAATAGAGCGGGATAAAGATACTAATTTTCAACGTTTATAAGCAATCTACTTATGGATAATGAATTGTAAGCTTAGTTGTACAATTTTATGGATTGAGAAAATTAGTTAGATTGAGTCTTTTTTTGTTGTTTACATGAAAAAAATACAATTACCATGCCTGGAAAATGATTATTAAGTAGTAATGCTGTTAGATTTCTGGTGGAGTAATGTGGATTAACATGGAGAAGTTTACTCATCTCTGTTACCCTAATGTATTCCTGGGAAAAAAAATAGTAAAATCAAAAGAATACGACAAGTCTCAGTTGCCACCGATACATTGCACAAAATAGGTGAAAGACTATCAACTATTAAAGGTCTGTATTTGTCACAATTAACCTATTAGGCACCACAAAACCAGTGAAAGGTTTCTCCCGTAAATTTAGCTTCTCAAACAAATAAGCCTAATGGAAAGGGCAATGGCAATGGCAATGGCAATGACAATGAACTATTTATAAGAATTAGACCGGGATATGTTTTGTGAACCGAAGTTATAGGATCATCATCCCCTTTATCATTTAGACAACAGAATCTGGATAGTTCTAGATAAAAAGGTTCAACAAGAAGGAACTCATGGAAGCATTATGCAATGTAGCATCCTGAGATTCCCAGAGGACTACTTTCCAAAAGCTTACACAGGTGATGTTGGCCTTTGTCTTATCCCCCACCTTCAGGTCCATCTGTGCAAGTGTTTTGACTAGGCATGGGTATGGTTGGGGTTGGTTCAGTTTGGCCCCAACCTGAAACCGACGCACACCGACCCAATCCAGCTGTTAGACCGAACCAACCCAAACTGAATTCATTTGGCTTGTTGGTTCGGCTTGGTTAGTCAGTTCGTACTTCTGCCAAAATTGGAGTTACAAAAAAAATAAAAAATAAAAAATGAATGAAAAAAATTGTCTGAGTTTGGGCTTTAGACCAAATTTGAGTAAATCTAACTTTGTATTTTTGTCTTGGCCTACTCTTCAATAGAAGATATAATCTATACTGTAAAGCAATGCTACAATTGAAGCCTTGAACCAATTATTTCTAATGGCAAAATAACTTGGATTTTCCTAAACATTATTCCAAAGAGTTACAATTTTCATCATTTAGAGCTGAATATAACTTGTATAATAGCTACAACAATCAAAATCAAACTAGATGTTGAAAGAGCAACACACATTCAATTTAAGAAAACAAGTAGGCCATTATAGACAGATTCACAATTCATTCTTTCTTATAGTAAGTTTAGTCAAACCAATAGAAGAAAAAAATTCCAAGATACATATAGTCACTCAAATAACTAAACACGACAATGAATGTAATTAATTCAAATTCCAGTTGCAATGCGCAAACGCAGTCTAGAGCCATCGTTTAACATATAAAGAACACCCTAAGCGCAGTTCATGACCTAATAGACATAATTCTACAGAAAAAAGAAAATAAAAAACTCAACAACAAAAAGATTAATAAATACAATAACAAAAATAGTAATCACAATAGAAGCTAGAAGCAGTGACAAGATGGTAATCAACCATCAATTGTAACATCAATACCGATAATAGTAACAAAATATTTCTAGGTTATTTGCACAAACAACAACAATAATATTAACCATAGAACTGGCCATCGAACCAAGGACTTAAAAATTCAAAATTTTAAACAATGTATTTTATAAATGAGATCCACAAGCAGATTGGCAGCCCGATTTCCATATCTAAAAATTGAAATTAACCGTTAGACATTTTGAAGTACTTTCACCTGCAATGATACATAGCAAGACTTGAAATCATATTTTATTGTAAAGCTATGGTCATATGTGATGCAAGTTATCTTCAGCAAAACACATATATAACTCCTTTTTAATCATTGACTGGATAACAAAAAGATTAAACTTATTAAATCCCAAATTTCAACTAGAGTTCAATAGATAAGAGGAAGGTACCACTTAATGTTAGAATTCTTGTGGGGGGACTTACCTTTTTAACTTGATGTTCCGTAGTTGTACCAATATATGAAATTAAATGGCTAGATGACATCATTCATATTAAAAAATTTAACACTCTAAGGTATTTACAAATACCTGAAAGTAGTTCAGCCAATGGTTAAAAGATCGTTGTGAAGTACATTGCGTGCTTTGCACATTGCCTCGAGTGGCACAGCTTTGGGCATTGAGAGACCTGTCCCCTCCGTCAAGTCAACATTCTCTTCATCAATCCTTTGCCACTCAAAACATTGTATTAAAGATCCTAAGGCCAAACCCACTACGCGTTCAGCAAGGCCGGCACCTGGACATGACCTCCTTCCCATTCCAAATGGCATCAACTTTGGTGGTCCAACTTCCCCAACTTCAAATCTCTCTGGCTTGAAGCTTGTAGGGTCATCCCAAACCACGGGATCCCTGTGAATAGCCCAAGCATTGATGAGCAAAATTGTGCCACGCGGAATATCATAATCCCCAATTTTACAGTTATCTGATGATTCATGTGGCACAGGCAATGGTGCTGCTGGGAACAATCTAAAAGTCTCAGAAATAACGTTTTGAAAGTAATGAAGTTTGGGCAAATCTGATTCCTCAATAAGACGATCATTGCCCACAATACAGTCGATCTCAACTTTAGCCTTTTCCAACTTCGCGGGGTTGTTGAGCAAAATTGACAAGGCCCATTCTATGGTCACTGCAGATGTGTCTGTCCCGGCAGTTAGCATAACCTGTCATTTGCAAATTCATATACCATGATGAGAGCTATTCTTTAATTAAGATGCTGGCTTTGTTGTTCTTATAGACCATGCTCAAGTCAAGATTCAAAAGGACTGAGGATAAAGGATGGAAAACTTACCATTATAATTCCTTTGATGATTGTATCTGAGTAATATTCTGGCTGGGATACTTGCAAATAAAGCAAATGATTAATAATACTATTTTCACTCTTGTACTGGCGGTGCTTATCAATCAGACGTTGAAAGAATGCATCCATTTTCTCACCTAACCTAGCTGAATTTTTCTCATAACCTCCGTAGTCGATCCATCTAAATAATGGAAGAAAATCTCCTGGATTTGACACTCCGCCCAGTTCAAATACTTCATCAATAAGCTCCTGAAAATGCTTTGCCTCCTTGTTGTCCTCATCTTCTCGAAAACATCGCTTCCCAGTTACCATTCTCATAATAATATTAAAGGACAGCTCTGTAAACATAGATTTCAGTTCAACTTTTGCAAAGTCGCTATGTGTATTTTTGTAGAGCTTTTGCAACAGACGTTTGATTTCATCTTGTCGTATGGATAGGAACATGTTGAGGCGACTAGAAGAAAATATTTCAACTGAACTGAGGCGCCGGAGATTGCGCCAGTGCTCACCATATGGGGCAGTGACAAGGCTAGTGTAGTTATAGGCAATATATTTACCCATGACAAAACGAGGGCGGTTGGCAAACACAATATCATTCTTGGTGAAGCACTCCTCGGCAGCCTTAGGCGATGAGACCACCACCACAAGTCGGGTGCCAAAGCGAAGGGAAAAGATTGGACCTAGTTTTTCAGAGAGGCTATGGAGGGTTCGGTGCAAAGGTTGTTTTAAGAGGTGCAGATGGCCTATAACAGGAAGGGCCGGTAACGGGCTTGGTGGAAGTTTGTATCTTGGCGCTGACCAAAACTTGTAAGCCAGAAGTACAAGAAAAAGTGAGAAAGATGTGTATAGCAAAGTCGATTCCATTCCTGAATCTTGATTGGTGAATTCTGATGAGCTGTCTATATAATCTTCTATGGATCAATCAATTTGAACGGCATATGTAAATAGTATTTGACGCTTTCACTACAAGAAATCTATACTTTACCTACAAAATCTCCACCGACAGATCGAAATTTGTAGGCAAAGTTCACTTTTCCCCACAAAATCAATGTTTTGTAGGCTATGATGTACTTCAAATTTTTCAATATTAGAAGGATTTGTACCCACAAAAATTTTATTTTTTCCCGACAAAAAATTTGACGGGAAAAATATATCTTTTGTCGACAAAAATATCAAACTTATTTGTAGGCTAATAATCAAAGAAAAAATTTCAATTACAATTTTTAATTTTATTCCCTGAAAAATATATATTTGAAGTTAAAAAGATAAGTAAAAATAAAAAAGAGAAAATACTTTTTTTTTTTTTTGTTCCAAAATGAAAATCCCTCAAACCCCCGTCTTTACCACACTCTCTTTGCCTCCAAGGTTTTACCCCAAAATTTTTCATTCCCTCTCTAAATTTTGCCATCTTCCACACTCTTCTTTGCCCCCAAAAATTTTATCCCTAAAATTATTCATTCCC